TACTAGATTTGACAAAGTCATTCTAGTAATTACCCTACTTTCCAAAGTCATTTTAGTAATTAACTTGGGAAAACTTGACATTTCAAAAGATGATTACTTTCTCTAGAAATGCAAGAATTAACTGTCACGAGTGACTATGTTTAACTGAGAATTGATTTGGTATTTTTTTTTCAGATTGGATGTTAAACAATAGAAATGAAAAGACTACAAAAGGCTACAAAGATTTCCAATAAGTAAAGGTATCACAACGAACAGAACAGATTTTTAATGGCAAAGTCTTTTGATCCTGTCCAAGTCTTTGCCGCATTCAGATCTTGATCCTAAGAAACTCAGCTTAAACTGTGTTGGATTCCCACGACATAACACTAGCATAAACATGGGAAAGTTCTTGTAAACACTGCACCAAATAAAACATGCCTTTAAAAACCTCAGCTTCACTGGACAGACCATACTTCAAATGGAAACTAAACCAAACTTCAATTCCATCTCAAGCAGAGTAATTAATATGTCAAGGTCAAAGAGCAAACTGTCCTTTGATGATGGACCAGAGACCAAAATGGATGTTAAAATGTACCTTACAGCAAGTTATACAACCAGATTTGGAGTAAAGCAACCACTTTTGCTTTCACTTGTAAGGAGCAAAAATGATGCTGGAGTTGTGACCACCAAACCCGAAAGAATTGGATAAGGCTGCTTTAATGTTCAATCTCTCCTTCTTAGGACCCACCAGCAATTTTGTATCCTGATCCAGTTTCATATAAAGTAGACAGTTTTAGTTTCATGGACATTAAATGGTGTCTTTGTGCAGTATCGAACTACGATACAAATACTGACATACCACTCCACTGTCTGGATTCTCGAGGTTGATATTTGGATGAACCCATCCTGTCCTTATTGCCTGACAACAACAGAAAATTAGCATGAGAAATGCAAAGGTTGCACACAGTTTTGATCGATTATATTATAAGAAATTGGCTAAAACACCATTTCCTTCCTTAGTGAAACTGATGCCTCTAATACTAATGTGTTACCTGCACAGTTGCGACAGCCTCTACAGCCCCAGCAGCTCCTAGTAAGTGTCCAATCATAGATTTTGTGGAATTTACCTTTAGCTGCCATATCATGAGAGAGCAAGTAAGGAAAGTACAAAGAACTCTCTTTGGAAATTTGTAACAGCTCCAAATACTGAACTTAAAGAGGACTGGAAAAGTGAAGCTACCTCAGGATTTTGGCCAAAACAGCGAGTAAGGGCTTGGTACTCCTTAAGGTCTCCAGCTGGTGTTGAGGTTGCATGTGCATTAATGTAATTGATCTGTTCCTTAGAAATCCCAGCATTAGCCAATGCTCTCTCGATACAGAGAATGACACCAGCCCCTGTAGATATCAGACAAAGGGTTAATGAAGATAGTTTTGTAGACAAAACAGCTTTAGAAATTGCAGCT